AATTATTAATTTGTCCTAATGCACAAGATCCATTAAATTGGGATACTTGTTATGGTAATTGTTATGAAAATAATACAGAAAATGAATATTGGATGTCAATTAGTAATAGACCATATGAATTTAAATGTGTTAATGAAAAGATTTGTTCAACTGATCCAGTTTATAGATATTTCATGAAATCATTACTTCCATCTCAAAAACAACCAAATGGAAGATATTTTGATATTTGTATGATTCGAGTTAATTCTCTTGATAATTCACATATTGATTTATGTTATCATGCTCTTCCAACTCAAGTTATTGCATTATATTATACTCCAATTGATTCACAATTACAAAAATTAAAACCAAATGAAGATTATTGTGGATATTATTTCTTCCCTTATGATATCGTTGAACAACATCAATCCTATTTTGGTGGGTTTAATTGCATTTATTATGATATTGATTGGGATGATTCTAGTTATCTTAAAAATATGGTTGATGGTTTTGATTATCAATACGTTAATAAATCAACTGGAAAACAAAACTTTGATGAAGTACATTTTGTTGCCTCAGCACCATTTATTAATCAACGCTATTAATTGAAAAAAGCTATTTGGATTAGTTTAAAAAACTATAATTATAGTTCTATTTTTTTAGAAGTAAATTAATTAATTCTTGAATTTTCATTAATTTGATCAACAAGATGATAAAAATCTTGTTGTAAATTAATTGGATAATTGTTAAATTGGATGTTGAGTATTTGAATTTCAACAGATGTAATTTTATGTGTTAATCTATCAACAATATATGTCAATGACCATTCAAAAGAGAAAGCATTTTCTTTATAAGACTTTTCTCCTTTAATATGTTTAATAATAATTTCTTGTGGTTCAATAGTAAGACAAATTTTCCAACCAGTATAACCATCATGATATTGATGTTTTAATCTTAATGGAAGTAAATATTCAACTGCAGCAGCAAATAAAGCTTGTGTAAAAGTTTTCATAACAGCTAAACATAAACTATTTTCAGTAAATACTATTGGTAATAATTTTTTAAAAAATGTACCACAATCACCATTTCCATTATTATGAATATAAGTAAAAACTATATCAAATTGTTTATCAAATTCTTCACTAAACTCTTTTCCATCTAATTTTTTTATTAATAATGAAACTACTTCTTTTAATGTACTTTCCATTCCATATGCTTCTTCTTCATGAGATGTTGATATAATACTTCCATCTAATATTGTATTATTTTCTTCAATTACTGTAAGTTTACTAACTAATCTTGGAATATCAATAGCAACAGATGTTTCTGCCATTGGTCTTTCATGTAATGAAAGAATCCTTTTATACATATCAGTAAATGTTAATTCAGTTCTTTGATATCTTTCAGGGTCAAATTTAGTATATCCAGTTTTATTTTTCTTTGGTTTGAATAAACACGAGACTCCAATAATCATAC